AACCAGGCTCATCTGGGAGACAGACTGCGGAGTCCTACTGGGATCCAGGGAGCCAAATACTTAGCATGGAAGGAAGGCCAGAGGCGAGGAGCAGCCAGGGCTGAGGAGCAGCTGGGGACAAGCTACAAATGCACCCTTTGCTCCTGGCCTAGAGGCCCGAGAGCAGGGCTGCAGACCCAGCAGCAGGGGGCAAGATGCCAGCCCCACTGCAGGACAGGCATGTGCCCATCAGACTGATACTCCTCAGACAAGCTCCATACTGAGGGTCTGGGCCGGCCGTTCCCACAATGCCAAAGTCAGGTGGCCTAGTAACACGTGGTTAATTATGTTCTGGCCAGATGTGGATCAGCCAGACACGTGTCAGCCACACAGGCTCCACAGGGATCCAAGAAAAGCCAGTCACACACATGCATTTACAGAGAGCTCTGAGGAACAGGGCTTTGACCAGAGCCCACGGAAGCACGCAGGCCAAGGAAGACTCAGGAATTAAGAGGCTGCTGGAAGCCCTTACACCCTCCCCTTCCTCTCTCTTGCCACTTTCCACTCAGGGTCTGGTCCCTTCTGCTGCATTCTGAGTGTGTGTGTGTGTGGGCGGGCATGCAGATGCCACATGATGGATGCCACTCAGAGACTGGGCTGTAAAGTCAACAGGCTCCTGAGAGAGGCAGAATCGCCTGAGAAATCTGGACCAACGCGCCCCTTCACGTGCTGTGTGTTTACTTGGGGCCCGAGGAAGAAGGTGGCTTGCACTTAGAGGCTGTGGAGAGTGTACAATAAGAGATAATCAATATTAGGATCACAATTTTTGAAGCAAAACGCTCGCACTGAGACGAGCAGCAGGGATGGAGGGGACGAAGGTCCGTGGTGCCTTGTCATGGGTGTGCGTCCCTGGGGAATACGTCCCGGGGCAAGGTGTCAGATGAAACTGCTCCCTCCTCTCTCTAACAGAATAGAATTGCCTTTACGTGAATTAAATGCTCAGAGCATGACCCTCCACATCAGCAGGTGAGATGAGTCTGACGCCTGTGGAGGTGTGCGTAGCTCAGGGTCCCAGGCCCCCAGCGCAGGTCCCTTCTGTATACCAGGCCTCTGATGTGCTGCTGGGGGAGCAGGGCGGTGGGAGGTGACACAGGGTGTGCGGAGCCGGCTCCCCCGGCCCCTGAGAGCTGGCTGTGCAGCCTCTGGAGAGAGCGTTCAGGACTCCGCTGGGGCAGGGGGCATTGCCCACACCCACACGTGCGCAGGGAAGCCTGACGCAGGGGCATCTGTTGTGAAGCCAAGTGGAAGGGGTGGGAGACAAGCTGGGGGCTCCCGGTGGGAGGTATCAGAGCCGTTTGGAAGATCAAGTGTGAGGTGTTGGAAATCTAAGAGGCAGCTTTTTCAAACTGCTGGAGCTTCGTTGTACCAGAGACTGATAATCGTCTTCCCAACGTCCATTCTTTCCTCCTCAGCATCGGGGTCCTGTATTGCCAGGGAGACAGGTGTCCAGCTGAGACACTGTATTGCCGGCCTCCCCTTCAGGCAGAGGTGGCCAATGAGACGGAAGCTACAGGACTGGGTAGAATTTGTGGAAGATCTCCTCAAATGGGCTGACTTGGTCAAGAGGAATATTTTCCTGTCTTCTGTCTTTCCCTCTTTTTTCTGACGGTAGCATGATGTGGCAGCTGGGGTACAGTCCCTAAATGGCACATTCGTATTTCATTTTTCACTAGAAAAATGGAATAAAGTTAGTTCTAAGTTTGTTTTGGGAGTGGAGGTGTATATGCTTTCTTTTTTTAAAATGATAAAAGCAATATGTTCCCCTTATTTGTCAGGAAGCCAAGTTCAGGGAGAGCCAGGCTCGCTGTCACCGTGTGAGGAGCCCCCGGGCACCTGTCACCCACTGACTTGGTTTCTCGGCTCTCCAGGCTACGAGCTGCCATGGGGGTGAGCTGCCATCGGGGCATCTACGCTGACTGGCCCACCTTACCCTGGAGAGTGAGTGAGTCTCCTTTTCTGTCCGGAGCACCAGGTGGGCAGGTGTGAGGTCCCCTCTGAACTTGGGGTAAAACTGGGTGTGGTGTAGATGGGCCCAGACCAGAATGTAGCCCTGAACCCTCGCTCCCAGTTGACCTCTCCTAGCGAAACCACGCCCCAGGGCATTTCAGATGGCACACGCCGCACTTGCCCTGAAGAGGAGCTCCGACTCATCCTGCCGCCAGGCCCGGCTCCCACACTTCCTCCGGAGGAGTCCCAGCTCCCTTCCCGGCCCCTCTGCGTGGTTCCGGCGTGTCACGTATGGAGGCAGTAGGAGGTGGCTCTCCCCTCACCGGTCCGCGAGCTGGGACGAGGACTAACGTGGTCATGCATCCCAGCTTCCCTTGCAACTAACGCAACCAGGTAACTGCGTTCTACCGCAGGGAACATGAGCCAAAGCGACCCCACAACCTGCCCACCCGAGGAGGCGCATTCACAGCAGCAGAAGCCTGAGAAGAGAGGCTGCTGCAAGCTCGGATGGGAGAGGCTGGCTCTCAAGAGACTGGGTGCTGGCATGGACAACAGTGAGACCAAATCTGACAACAGAACCAGCCCGAATGGTCAGGGCGTGGCTCATTACACCAGCTTTCTGGTTCTTATGTCTCTGCCTCCGGCTCAGGACCTACCTGAGGAGGTCACATGTACCTGCCAACAAGCACACGGAATGTCCTGCCTCTAATCAGCCCGCCGCCGCCAGCTAACCCCCCCCCCCACTTCCCACTCCTCCCTCAGGGCACACCAGAGGTCACCATGGACTCCTGGCTCTCACAGCTCTGAGTCCGCAGGCTCTTGTGCTCCTTTGGGTGGTCTCCGTCCATTTCCGCACTTCCTCCTGCTGAGTGCAAGGCGGGTGCTGAGCACCGGGAGGGAGGGAGCCAGAATCGCTGCTACTGTGGAAGCACCAGGCTCCCTGGACTAGTAGTGAGCGAGAAACACACTTCTCACTGCACACACGCGCGCGCGCGCGCACATACACACAGACACGCATGCACAGACACACAAACACACACACACGAATATTTGGAACTTTGCAAGCTTTTCCTGGGGAGGCCTGGGCGAAAGGGTGCATTTGTCCTGGAATAAGAATCAGATTTTGCTGAGCAGATTCCTGTACACAGGTATCACCCATTTAAACTAGGACTTCCGAGGTCTCGGGCATCTTTCATTGGCATGCAGTGAGCCCTATGCTGATTACAGGAGACTCTGACTGCTCATTCTCGCAGGGGCTGCTTAGCCTGGGAATGCTTGCAAGGCAAAGAATGGCTGCCTGTGTGCACACAAAACTCGGAATTTTCACCTGTTGGACTGAATTCTCCCGAGTCAGGATAAAGAAGCAAATGTCCCCAACTCTTTCTTGGGGGTTTTCTTTGTCCCCATGTCCCTCTGTCTTCCTTTGGATACAGCTTTGTCCCCCAGGTGGACAGGACCACAGGACACCGATACCTTTGAAGGAGGAATGTAAGGGCAACACATTAATGTCCATGTACAACCCATCCTTCAGGCCACCGAGGTTCAGGGCCCAGCTCCAGGGAGGCAGCAGCTTGCATGGGCCTCGCTGTACCTTTGCCAGGCCTGCGGGGGTGCGCAGAGGGGCCAGGCTCCCAAGACTGGCTTCTGGGTATCTGGTCACAGTTATCTGCCTCCTGTGACATGCCTGGGGCAGGAAGAGGGGCTGAGATACAAACTGATGTTTTTTGTCTCCTTTTAAGCCAGCCTCTCATTTCCAGGGAACTTGCATGATGCTGATGCAGCAGACAAAGCAAAGTGGCCCAGCATTTTCCTGGCCACCATGGCCACTGTGGAGTTAGCTGGTCCTTGGGACACTCCAGTCCATGCCTCCAGGCCCCCCACACCCACCCACCCGCTCACACATTCATCCATCCAACATGTGCTGTGTGCCTACGACGTCTTAGCCAGCTACCAGCTTTACCCTGTAGACCACATGTGTCAAACACAAGGCCCGCGGGCCAAATCCGTCCCGCCAGGCCTTGCAATGTGGCCCGCACCGCGCTGTCATCACTGCACTCCGCTGCGTTTCCATCACAATGACAGTTTATGACTGTTCAGTAAACCATTCGGCCCGCGATTTAGGCTGGATTTTAGATTTTGGCCCCTTCTCTGATTGAGTTCGACACCCCTACTGTAGACAGTCATGTGACCAAACAGGGATGCTCTCATCTGATAGAAGCTGTGGCTGAGATGTGTACAAGCTTCCCAGTGCTCACTGAAGAGCGGGCAGAGAACTCAGAGTGGTCAGGGAAGGTCCCACAAATGCCCGGCAAGGGACACGAGTGCAGTCTTATGAGAGCAGGGCATTTCCATTAACTGGAGACATGGGGTGGGGCACAGTCCAGCTAAAGGCATGAAAGAGCCAGGAAAAGGCCCAGAGGTCTGTGCGGTGGAGCAGAGGGTGAGGGAGGAGAAGCAGGAGATGACCCAGAAACTGTCACCTGGCTTACCTTGGCGCCATTGAACTTCACTCTGAGGTCACCACAGCGGGGCTGATACCCATGCCCCGGGGCAGGAGAGGGTTAAATCCGTGGGGAGGGCCGGGTGGGGACTGGAAGGCGGAGCAGCCCTTCGCTGGCTGCCTCTCTGGCATGCAGACTCTGTGCAGCAAGCTTCCATCAAAAATAAACCCAACACCCGTATTTTTATACAAACCCTCCCAATTTTTAAATGTTAGAAATTATTCCACAATATCCTGCTGGCCCAGCAGATGTGTATCTGATGTCCTCTCAGCCCTTGGGCCCGGGACCTAAGCCTCAGGAGGGATACAGCCAGGCTTCTGCTTCAGCAGCATGGCCGGCAGCCTGGGTGCGGTTCTGCCCCGGCTCCCAGCAAGGGCTTCCTTCCCGATTTCCTCACCTCGCCGGGACCCGCGCCTCTCCCTCCCTCCCAGCCCGCCACTCCAGCCACCCTGCCTGGAGGCCCTGAGCGAACCAGTGCTCCTGCGCTCACAGAGAAGAGCCAGCGCTGGGACGGAGGGAGCCGTATTTATTTCACATGGACAGGCATGTTCTGTTGCATGCTGAACATGAAAGCTCGCGTGAGGCAAGTACCCGTAACAGCAGAATTATGTGCTTTTGTCCACAGGGAGCAGGGAGGTCACCAAAGACGGCCGCCTTCGGGAGCTCCGGTCTGTGCCCTCATCAGAGGGCCGTCTCCTCGCAGGGCCCGGCCGCGTCCGCTGCGGCTCTGGCTGGGCTGCTGAGGGCGGAGGACGAGGACCGTGGCCGTGCCACCAGCCGGGGGCGGGAAGCTCACAGGGAGGTACACGACGCTCGGAAGCAGCAAGCTCACTCTGGGGGGGACAGCGACAGGGACAGACCGCTGTGCTCACAGCAACAGAGCCCTCACCGCGGGCCACAGCGCACCCAGCGGGGAGACCCCTTCTCCCGCAGCAGCTCCTGGGAGCCCAGTGTTGCGGGGCTGGGCGCCCGAGGCGGGTCCGCGCTGCCTGGCTAGCGGCAGGGCCCCAGACTCTTCGCCCGGCTGGGCTCCCTGGTCCCGGGCTGACGGAGCCCCAGCCGGGAAGGCGCTGGAGCCCGGCGCTGCGGGCCGCAGGCCCTAAGCACAAACCCAGGCAGAGGCGCAGGAGACGCCCCGGGGAGGCCTACTCCCACCTGAAGTCCTGGCCCACGGTCTCATAGAACTTGATGTTGTGAGGTCTGTAGAACTCCCGCAGCTGGTCTATGACCTCGGGGTCGATCTGCACGTGAGCCCTGCCCTTGGACTTGCCCAGACACCGGGGCAGGAGGCTGGCCTCCGTCCTCCGCAGGCAGGGGAAGCCCTTGGTCTTGTTGAAGTAGAAGTGCTTGTCGGTGAGGAAGCGGCGGATGCCCAGGAAGTCCTGCACGCGCCCCATCTCGCCCGCGGGGTCCGTGATGAGCCGCTCGCCGCTCACGAAGTGGATCTGCGCGCGCGGGAAGTAGCGCAGCCAGCCCTCCAGGTGCAGCGCGTACAGGCCGATGCGGATGGCGTTCCAGGACACGTCCACCAGGCCCAGCGTGCGGTTCCGGAAGGACAGGCCCTCGAAGGTGGGGATGTCGGGCTTCTTGGACAGCGTCTGGGTGTAGTCGGAGATGGCGCGGGTCACCGGGTTCCGCACCACCACGATCAGCTTGGTGTCCCGCGACATGTTGAAGATGCGCCGCGGGGCCTCCTGCGTGACGAAGTAGCTGGGCGTCTTCTCCAGCGTGATCTGGCTCTCCAGCGTCCGCGGCATGAGGCTCCTGCGGGCAGAGCAGCGGTCAGACAGGCTGCGGGGCAGGGCGGGGCGGGTGCGGGTCAGCTCCCTGCTCCCAGCTCCCCAGGGGGCGCCTCTCTCCCCTGTGCCTCTGAGGCCCGCCTGCTCTCACCTGGCGAGGAATCTGCTTTTCTACTTGATTTTTTTAGTCTTTAACCAGTTTGCTTCCAGACAGGGAGCGCCCATCAGCAAGGGTTAAATAAATGCTGGAATAGCAGTTAACAGAGTGAGCAGAGCTCTGTGCACCAATATAGCATGACTTCCAGGATGCAGCATGAAATGAAAACAGGCGAGGCAGCATCTAGGGAAACTGACAAACGCAGGGGATTCTGGGGAGAGCCAGGGAGGGGTCAGGGATGAAAGAGAGTGACTTTTATTGTATAACCTCGTACACTGCTTGAGACTGTTAACGTGGTTATTACACATTCAAAAGTTACAGAGGAGCCCTAGCCGGTTTGGCTCAGTGGATAGAGCATCAGTCTGCGCCCGAAGGGTTGTGGGTTCCATTCCAGGCGAGGGCACATCCCTGGGCTGCAGGCTCCTCCCCTGCTGGGCCCTAGTCAGCTCGTGCAGGAGGCAACCAATCCACGTGTCTTTCTCACATGCTGTTTCTTTCTGTCTTTTCCTCTCTCTTCCACTCTCCCTAAAAAAAGGGGGAAATATCCTTGGAAAGGATTAAAAAAAAAAAAAAAAAAAAAAAGATACAGAGGAAGGTACTTGTTCTGGCAAAAGAGATTTCTCCAAATATGTTAGAAAATCTGTTTGGGAGTAAAGGCTGGTTTTGTAGGTAGAGCAGGTATTTTGGAAATGAGTTCTAACCACTATGCTGCACACCTGAAACTAATATAAATAATATTGAGCATCAACTGTAATTGAAATAAATCAGTAAATAAAGTATCCCTCATCACCAAATTGGGAACAAAGCAAAGTCTTAGCACTTTGTGTTTGAAAAGAGGAAAGAAAGCCTTTTCCTGCTGCACTCCTTCCCCGGGAGGAGCCGGAGGCAGTGAGGAAGCCCTCGCTGCGCCAGCGGCCGAGCAGGCGGGCAGCACCTCTCGCCGCCCGGCTTTGCTCTCCAGCTCTGCCTGCGGGTTCCGGAGATGGTGATGGACCTCCTCCCCAGCTGTGTCTCTTTCAGACCTGATGGCAGGGATTGTGACTTCTGTCTGGGGTTGTGACTTCTGTCTGGACGTCATGTGTTACCGTAAGCTCGTTTTTCTAATGCTGGCTGCACATTAGACTCCAAGGGGTAAAACATGCGATGTCTGGGCCCATCCGGGACCAGCTGCTTAAAGCTATTCGGGTGGATATTTTTAAAGCTCCTCAGATGGTTCCAATAGAGGTTCTCACTCCTGACACTATGACTGACCAACCCCAAGGCATTGGTCTGCACATTCCTCTGGAACATAGATCCTGGCTCCCAGTCTTCATCCCAGACCCCATCAGCATCCCCACTCAGTGACCTGACTAACTGTCTCCTACTTTTCTTCTCCTTTAGCAGTTCTCACTCCTGGCCATTCCTTGGATCCTGTCATTGGAACTGCCCTAGTTCTGACATGGTTCACCCTGAAATTCCACTCTAGGATGATGTACTGGGTTGAATGGTGACCCTCTGAAAGAGGTGTCTGCTCAGAACCTATGAAGACATGTGGAAAAGTCTTTGCAGATGTAAGGTGAGGGTCTGGAGGTGAGGTCATCCTGGATTAGGATAGGCCCAAAGTCCGGTGAGGAATATGCTTCTAAGACAACAGAAGGGGGAGAAGAGACACACAGAGGAGTCAGTGTGAAGACAAAGGCAGACCATGGAATGATATAGCTGCTCGCCAAGAAATGCCAAGGAAAAGAATGGACTGCCATCTTATTTCTTTATGCATTTACCACAGTAGCAACTCATTATACCCAACCTTCAAATTCATCTATGATCTTCTTGATTTCACTTTCTTGCATACCTTCTCTGGACCCAACGAACAATCATTTCAGTTCCTCCTCGTCCGCCTCCTCCTCCTCTTCTTTCTCCTTCTCCTCCTCCTCCTCCTCCTTTTTTTTCTTCTTCTTCTTCCTCCTCTCCCTCCTCCTCCTCCATTTCCTGTACTACTCGCTCTTCCAGTCCCTAATAATGCATCCTCCCAGCCTTTCATCATTTCTAATTCCGTCTCTGGGTTGCCCAACAGCAGGAGAGAAAACTGGATCCTTCCTATGGTTACTAATTCTATCTTCACTTGAGCCTCACCGCTGCTCAGTAATTTGGCACATTTGTTTTTACAGCCCCTTATTGTTCTCCAGAGTAGGTGCTCCAAATTCTCACCACAAGCACCTGCCCTTAACACACAACCAGTCTCCCAGTGCACGAGGAAGACATAAGCCGTCATACCTTCAACTTTTCTCTCCTCCATCCTGCCACTATTGCCCACACTGTCCCTGCACCCTCCCTGGTCTCTGGGGAAGAGGCAGGCAGGAGCTCCCTGACCACCTGCACTCTCAGATTGCTCCCTCTGTGCCTCCCCTGCAAACCTGCCTGTTAGCCCCTTGAACTTTCAGTCACTGCGCATCAGATAGGCAGACAAAACTGCTATTTTGTTTCTAGGCCCGGTGTTCATAATGAGCCTGTGTGAGCTTAAAGTCTCCATAGTGTTTATTAACACCGAGAAGGCCACTTTTTAATTGGTTATTGTTATTAGCTAACAATCACACACATTTTAATAGAATCTTCTGGCCAGCTTTTCTTATATATCTGGCTATGTCAGATTATGACCCTGGGATACATTGTAATTACATGTTGGCCTTTATGATGAAAGTAGGCAGAATTACATGAATGTGAGAGTACACTTAACCTTAAGGATGTCAAACTCCGTGTGGGTTATTGATGTAAAGGCAATCCCCCAAACACAAATAAGTCGACTTGACAAGCCATGAAACAGATTTCCCTGGAAAACACTAGATGCGGAGAGGAAGTGGGGACAGCATTCCTGAGCTTGTGAGACTAACGGGCGATGAGCTTTGCCAGGAGCGCTGTGCCATTGGGGCCATTCCGGCCAGTCCCAGTGCTCTGCAGAGCATCCCTGTCCTGGGTTCTGAACGGCAGGGCAGCTCCATGTCCCCAGTTCCTAATGGCACGTCAGCTGCAGGGTCTCCCTCCCTCAAACACGGGGGGAGCTCTCACCAGACTGCAAACAGCACCACACGTGTCGCTGTGCCTGGGTCAAACGGCCCCTGTGCACTTCAAATATTCTCTCCCACCGGGACACCCTACCAGGTACGTCTGCGCGGCGCTGGCACAGAGCGCCGCCGAGCCTGTGGGAGGGGAGCGTGCAGAGCCTGGCTGTGCGGCTCCCTGCTCACACACGTGGGCCGGGGTGTGCACTTTTCCTTAAGGCTCATTTTCCCTCTTTAAGTCATTGTTTAAATTTCGTTTACTTGCTTCCAGTTGCTAACACACAGTTGAATTTTTCTCTCAGCCTATAACCTTCTTAAGCTTCAGCCTCCTTTATACTCCATGGAGCTTTGCAAAAATTACTGTAATGGTCAGACACTCCTCCTTTGGACTTACCTCCCACCTCTTACTTTAACCTGCTCAGCAATGATTTCTCTACATCTGATATGAGCCCCTTGATTTTTATTTGAGGAACCACCACTCCTGCTTTGGACAAAATCTTGGTGGGCCAAGAGGTGGGTGCATAAATGAAGTTAGGCCAATCAGTGCCAATCCTATTGAATAAAGAGGGAATATGCAAATTGATTGTCACACCAACACAAAGATGGCGGAGTCCAATCCCCTCAGCCCCACAGAATCCCCCAGTCCTTTCAGCCCTGCAGGGAGGGGATGGGCAGGCAAATGGTGTGGCTGGATCCACCCCCAGCTGCCCAGGGCTGGCCTGAGGTACAGGCAAGCCTTGGATATCGGTTGCCCAGCCAACCAGGGCCACCCAAAGCTTGCGCTGGCAGCAGTGGCAGCAGCAGAAGTATGATGGGGGTGTCGCCTTCCCCTGATCATCAGGTTGCCTCCCATCCTTGAGGGCTCCCAGACTGTGAGAAGGAACAGGCCAGGCTGAGGAACCCTCCTCCAGTGCATGAGTTTTCATGCACCAGGCCTTTGGTTGTGTTATAAAGACTAACAGTGGGCCATCAAGACTGAAATGTTTAGCTGAAACCGGTTTGGCTCAGTGGTAGAGCGTCGGTCTGGGGACTGAAAGGTCCCAGTTTGATTCCGGTCAAGGGCATGTACCTTGGTTGTGGGCACATCCCCAGTAGGAGGCGTGCAAGAGGCAGGTGATTGATGACTCTCTCATTGGTGTTTCTAGCTCTCTGTCCCTGTCCCTTCCTCTGTAAAAAAAAATCAATAAAATATATTAAAAAAAAATAAAAAAAAGACTGAAATGTTTGGACTGAACATTCCCACCAGGTATAGGGGCCTGGAAAAGCCTCCTCATCAGCTTCTCTTAGCAAATCCCTGCAGTGATCTTAGTTCTGGCCCTGGTTCTCCCACTTCTGCCTGCATTCTATGAGTTATGGCACCTCCTTCTAAAAAGGTACTTGCTATTTTATATTAGTCATAGTTGGTAGCTGTTGCTTGCAACCCAAATACCTGACTTGCCTGGCTTCCTCCAGGTGGGAGCAATGCTCACCCACTGAACGTAAACTCCGCGAGAACAGGGGGCACTTTCCCTGCACCTACATCTCCAGGGTCTACCACAGTCCACGACACAATAAAGGCTCCATCGATATTGTTGAGATTACAATGAAACCGACAACCAGTCTACTCCAGTTATGTGTTGAAGCCCTCGCTCCCTTTTCAAATTCTCCCCACGCTCAGGCCATTCTGGGCTGGCCACAGGCGTGTTCCCACCTCTCGCTCATTCCTTCCCAGGCCTCCCACCACCGCCTGCGCGATGCCGACCGTGCGTCTGCAGCAGCAGCTCCAGCCTCCCCATGCTCTGGGCTGGAATGCCCTGCTGCCTGTGGACTGGCTCCATGCCTCAGCAACTGAAC